TTATTTTGCTGCAAGCCTGCTTTCTTTCTTTCCCTCCCTCTGTCCCTTAGGGCAGGGGTCAGTAAACTATGACCTGTGGGTCAGATCTGGCTTACAGATGAGGGGGATCTGCAGCATTCAGCAACAGGGATTTGGGCAGCAGTTGGCAACCTTTCTAGGCTGCTGGCCAGAGTGACTCAGTTTGGGTCAAAGGTAGTTGGGTGCTGAAGCTGATGTTTTCCCCCCATCATGGCAGAAGAGCGCCCACAGATGAAATCCCGTGTTGCCAAAGCGGGCTGGATCCAGTGGCTCTGCAGACTGGCTCTCTGCATTAGATTCTTGAATCCCAGCATGTCAGGGTCACAGTCACCCAAGTTACCTTCCACCTTCACATTCTCAACCAAATTCTTCTCCGTGAGCAAAAAACTGAGAAGAGTTTCCCGCCTAGTTGGCTTCTTTGCCCTCTGGCAAGGACTTTTTTTTTTTTTTTTTTTTTTGGCAGTAGCTTTGATTGGACCAGCTCCATAGTTAGGAAAGATGTTAGGCAGGCTTTTGTGCATAAAGTGCCTTGTCTTGAGACTCATGAAACCAGAGGAAGGGCATTCTGTGTTTGAAAACTAGTCTAATATCTCTTCCAGGTAGATAGTTCATCCATTAAAAAAAATATGACCCCAAAAATCCTTGCCACTTGAATATTTTGTGGACCACTGAGACTGAAGCAGCCTGTATTCTGCTTTGTCACTGTTGAGTTAGTCACTGTTTAGATTTGTGGGAGAGAGGCCTTTGGTATTGGAACAAAGGCCAGGGTCAAAGGCAGGAATAAGTCTTGTAAACTATCTGAATCCTCTCCCTTCTCAGGAGAGCAAAGAACCAGACTGATAGAATTGGTTGTAGTTATATCTTTGGGTGTCCTGTGTTGTGGTATTAAACAATACGCCTGGTACATTGTCATTCTAAACCTTTCCTGTCGTGCTGAACTCCCTACTACCCTAATACCTGGGGACTGACCAACATCGCGATTATGCATTTTCTGCAGAAATTGTGAATTTGGGCGTGCTGTGTGAAAAAGCATGGGCTTACTGAAAACCCCAACTTACAGGCAAGCAGAGAAGCCCTGTGGTCTTGGAGTGGGGCTGGTAGGGCACGGGGGTGCTCAAAGCAGGAGGTTCAGGGTTGGGGACAGGACATGGATGGAGCCGGCCGCAGGGGCTGGCAGTGTTATGAAGTCCTGACAGCTGGGCTGGTGGCAGCAAGGCACAGGGCAGTAGCAGCTCATTTCCTCCACCCCCCCACCCCCGGGGCCCTGTGCTCCAAGACTTTGGGGCTTCTCTGCTTGCTGGTACATCCCCCCCCCCCCCCCAGCCCCCCACAAAGGGCAAAGTTTAT